CAGCAGCAGCAGCAGCAGCAGCAGCAACAGCAGCAGCAGCAGCAGCAACAGCAGCAGCAGCAGCAACAGCGGCAGGCGGTAGGGAGTGAGAGTGTGGGGGAGTTGCTGTGCTGCTGCAGCAAGAGAAGCAAACGAAATAAACGAAAAGAAAATAAATAAAAATAAAAACAAATTAAAATGACAAATCGAAAATGAAGAAAAATAATCCGCAGCACAACGCAAGCTGCTGGGGTGTACGTACACCTCAGCTGGAGACCCTCTGCAGCCTCTCTTCCGCGGCCGTCAGCTGCTGCTGCTGCTGCAGCAGCGAACTGCAGCTGCTGCAGCGAGCTGCAGCTAGCTGTAGCTAGCTATGGCTGGCTGCAGGTAGCTGTGGCTAGCTGTAGCTGGCTGTGGCTAGCTGTAGCTAGCTGTAGCTAGCTGTAGCTAGCTGTGGCTAGCTGTAGCTAGCTGTGGCTAGCTGTAGCTAGCTGTGGCTAGCTGTAGCTAGCTGTAGCTAGCTGTAGCTAGCTGTGGCTAGTTGTAGCTGGTTGTATCTAGCTGTGGCTAGCTGTAGCTAGCTGTGGCTGGCTGTAGCTAGCTATAGCTAGCTGTGGCTAGCTGTGGCTGCCTGTGGCTAGCTGTGGCTGGCTGTGGCTAGCTGTGGCTCTTGAGCGCCTCACAAGAGGCTAACTTGGCAATAGGTGTTGGGTCTTAAAGTCGATGAGCCGTGCTGCTGCGCTGAGATGCTGCTGCTGCTTTTTGCTGCAGTTTGCTGCTGCTGCCTCTGCTGCTGCTGCTGCTGCTGCTGCTTGCTTCTGCTGCTGATACAGCTCTGGTAGACTGGCAGCGCCACGAGGGAGGAAGGGAACTGGAAGTGAGAAGTTTTAAAAAGGGGCTGAGCAGTGCTGCTGCTGCTGCAGCAGCTGCTGCTGCAGCTGCTGCTGCTGCTGTTGCAGCACAGTAGCAGCAAAGAACAGCGACGAACTCGTCGCTGTCGAGGAGGCACGGCCTGCTGCTTTTGGACGACGACGAAAACGACGACGACGTGGTCCATTGATGACATCACGACGACGACGACGTGGTCAATTGATGACATCACGACGACGACGAGCACCAGTTAACTACTGTAGTGCTGCTGCTGCTGCACCAGCTAACTACTGTAGTGCTGCTGCTGCTGCACCAGTTAACTACTGTAGTGCTGCTGCTGCTGC